ATAGATTTTAATGTATATTATTGTAGATTATTGTTAGTAGAAAATACAGTCTTTAGATTGGTTGTTTCTCACAGAAAGTTAACCTTGCATCTATTTGTGGCTGTGTCAGATTATCTATATGCTACCTGTATCCGCCTACGCAAAGCCTTTGTTCTCATTTTCTCACTACCAATATTGGGGACAAACACTGACGTCAATTACTGTCTACCAACTTTGGTTAGCAGCCAGCTCTCACCACAAATGTACACCGGGTCATTAACTCTTGGAACTAACTCCCACAAGTAGTGGCTTATGTGCCCTCAATCGACTGGTTCAAGAAGGGATTAGACAAGTGCTGATATTTGTCAGAAAAGCATTAACACAGGCTTGTAGCTTTCTATCTCCAACTAAAAATCTGAAAAGTTATTATTAATGTTTGTTAAAAAAACAAACAGTCGGTTAACAAAAAATGATTTAAGTTCCCTTAATGGATGTAAGGATGTGATATTGCTTTTCGCGTCTGTTGTATTCGAACTTTTTAGAAATGTTTCTTATTTATAGTTACCCAAAGCTGTTGCAGAAAAATGTATTCATTTAGTTGTATTTCATTATTGTATGAATCTCTCAGTCTCATCGGCTTCAAAATATTCCATACCAATGAATTTTAAAAATCTAAAACTAAGCCTCCTGATTTTCTAAAAATTATTATCCTAAATAAACCGTAATTGAAATACAGAATTCATTATAATAATGTATTAAATAACTCAGTAACAGCGCGTGAATTACAATCCCAATATACATAACTGAATAATCAACCAAATGAAGACATAGCAAAGAAGTCGGAGAAAATGAATTCACCTTAAAGGAAAATGATGAAGACGAATGTAAGACTGACTCAAGTCGCTGAAAGAACAAATAATTAATACAGTGACAGTCTTCACTATGCAGATCATGATCAAGAAAGTACACATAAACAAAACTAACAGAATCAAGTAAATCAGACTTCAGTTGAGTAACTTTTGAAACTTTTGTCACACTATTTACAGACCACACCTTTATATTCATTGTTTTTGAGATCTCCATTGCAAATTACAGACATAATCAATTCCGGTCACATTCCTACAAGTTATCACTAAATTTTTAATATAAAATGTAAACCTGGACACAATTGCCTAGTTCACAATTCTAAAGTATTTTCAAATCTTTTTTAATTATTGATAGTTTATTAGTTTTTACTCATTTAGGACGTAAGTAACGATGCGTGACAATTCCTTTCTATTATGCTATTCAAGCAAACAATACTACTGTCCTTCACCTTTTTACAAATGACACCTGAAGTATTTAGATATTTTACATATTGAAATTAAAATTTCACATGGTTGTATGCAGTTGAGAAGAGCCAACCAAAATATAATTACGTCATTGTATCCGGTTCACTGTGCTTTTGCTTTGTTCAAGTTTATGAAGGAAAGAGACTATATAAAATTCCCTGTATTATACAAAAGTATTCATTTGCATGTAAGTTGCCTAAAGTTATTTAAGTCTATCAGCGAGTATTTCCAGACATCCTTTTGGTTTTATTCATTGTTGCTTTTAGCCGGCATTTGAATTACAGTTGCTCCTCAATACATTTCAATTCATATTAACTTTAAACTATTATTATACTTTGTTTTTAGATTAAGTTGCATTTCCCGTTGATTAATTATGTTGAACCAAAATGGCATTTAGGCTCCTAGTACGGACACTACAACGATGTCTTAGGATTAATGTGAACCAATTTTGGCTGAAGGGGACTAGTATTGAAATCCACGATGCGCATTTCATCACATTTGGGACTCGTCTACTGAATGTAATGGTGGATAATGCTTTGGCGTCTGAAATGAAGGGTGCAGAGATAAAGTCACAGTGGGAAAACCATCACTCACTGGGAATGCACGTGCGTCCAGTTGACAAGTTTTTGAGTGGATGAAATTAAATATTCTGGATCCCACCGCTAGTTACCATCATCTAACATTATTATACTTACATAATATTTTCATTTTTCGTGCCATTGATTCTCCACCGAACTAGGGACATTTTCCAATAAATTAGATTTCGAAATAATAGAGAAAATTTGTAGCTCAGGTGGATGATTTGCAATTAATAGTGTTCTCTGAACTGGTTGGTTTGGTTGCGGAGCTTTCGTCGTCCTAAATACTGCTAAATACTGCGCTGAAGATGTTGTCCAGAAGAACGACGAAAGCTCCGCAACTAAATCAACCAGCTCAGAGAACACTATTGATTGCAAATTAGATTTCCTTTCAGTTTAAGCACTGATCTTAAACATATTCGTTTTTTCTGCATTACTTACTTCTACCTTTAAACTAATTAAAGCTGTCATAAAATAACACACTTATATATGTTTATATATTCAGATATTTTGCTTGACATTTCGTTTAGACTATTACTAAACATGGTAGTGATTGGACAGCAATTTTAAAACTAATACGGTGAATATGCTATCGATTTTTAAACAGAAAATGATCAATCAGCCGTAAAACAAGTTGGTAAATTACCTGACTGAAAAATCTTCAGACAATTTCTCTCATATTTATGCGGTACATGATAGCTGTTTGGTCTTAGTATGTAAACTTTTCAGATGTTAGCTCTGATAACTTTAAAATCGAGTTAGTCTTAACTGTTTAGGCATAACAGCCATTATACCATATCTAACAAAGTAAATTTAATCCAAATGACCAATATTACTCAAATTCCATCAGTTGACGACATGACTATCTTCCAGAATGAACATTTTGAAACAGATTTATTAACAAACAGATCAAAAAATGTATAAATTCATTCCGAAGTCGTTCACTAATAGACCATGAACACTATGTATAAGAGATTAGCTCAAAATTGACGTATTTCACTTTGTGATGAAGATTGTTTTCAAATCAGTCACTTCTACACAAACTACAAGAGACTAACAATTAGTTACTAAAAAACTAAAATATTTCCATACATATTTGAGCTGCTTTTTCCTGAGATTTAATATAAGAGTATAAGACCTGCACTATAATGCAATCCATAACTGATCATCATATTACACTCGACTCTTCTGATTGAAAAAGTCGTATAATAAACTGCTCCCAATATCAGTCATAAGCACTACCATCCCATTAACAAATATTTGCTCTATTTACAACCTTTTTGTCTCTCACTACTTATGTTTAAATTAACTGGACTGGAATAAATATAAAGTTCGTTGGAAGCAGTGACATGCTGTGATGTTTGCGCACGCAAATAACAAGTTCAAAATAAAAAAAGCGCATGAATGTTATTATCAGAAGCACTATAAAATCACAGAAAAAAAAACCTAAACATTCTGAGTAATTTAGCAAATCACTGAAGGAGAAAAGTGCCATACACACTTGGATCGCCAACTTTCTTCCTTCTTACAGTTCCATCCTCACATTTCTAACAATAATTTTGAGTATAAATTTTTTTCAGTATCACAGCTCTGATGAATTATGTTTACCTTCACATAGTTATTAATCCTTCAATTTGAAAACTTTGTTTTGCATTTTCACATTTAGGTTGTCACTCTACGTTGTTTTTATTATTCAGTTCTTCAATAAAAGTTGTTCCGACATTATATGAAACATCAGATTATAGATGAAAGTCTAATAGTGCCAATAAATTGAAACATTTGTCTGGTTGACAGATCTTATTTTAATGAAGCTTTCATATAAAGATTATCTAAAATTGGATATGCTGGTGATCCTATTGCAAATTCGATTGCCTGACAGTATAGCTTCTTTTTGAAAGTAAAATATGTAATTTTGAAAATTAAAAATATTGAGTAATATCTTTAACTGGTATTTAACATT